GCTGATATGACTGAACTGGATCAAATAAATCTTGTATAATACCAGATCAATACTAATAATGAAAGGCCAATCTGACAAAGAAGCTATCAAATCATGTTGTCAGATTAAGAATTAATATATGAAGAAATACAAAAAATACTAAATGCAGGAATCATATAATAATTCAATAGTTCATGAGCTTCACCTGTAATTATAGTTAACAAGAAAGATGAGAAGAAGTATTTTTATATAGATTATTGGAAGATTAATAATATTACCAAAAAAAATATATACTCTTTATTCAAAATTAATGAAATATTAGATAATTTAGATCACACAAAATGGTATTCATTACTAAACCTAATTAGTAAATACTGACAAATTGAAATGAATGAATAAAATATTGAGAAAACTGTTTTCATCTTCAGAGAAGATCTTTATGAGTTTTTTGTAATGCCATTCAATCTCTGTAATACATCCATAACTTTTTAATGAGCAATGGACGTGATATTAAATAATTATAATTGTAAGTATGTGATAATTTATATTAATAATATTAATATATACTCCAGAAACTATAAAGATTACTTGTATTATTTAGAACAAGTATTTCAATGAATTAGGAAAGCTAAACTCAAATTAAATTTAAAAAAATATAATTTTTGTAAAAAAAAGTCTATTTTTTCTAGATCACATTATCACCAAAGAAGGAATTTTGATGAACTCTTCCTTCCACTATAAAGAAGATCCAGGAATTTTTATAACTATATACAGTTAAATTACTTCATTTGTTTTTTGAATTAGCCAGATACTATAGAAAGTTTGTGAAAGACTTCTTCCAAATTATTGTTTCTTTATTTTATCTTCTAAAAAACAATATAAGATTTAAATGGAAAAAGAAACAGGAAAAAACTTTCAGAGAACTCAAAAGAAGACTCATCTCAGCTCTAATCTTAATATATTCAGATTTTACATAGAAGTTTTATTTATATATATACATTTCTAATATTGGATTAGAAATAGCACTATCGAAAAGAATGATGAGAATTAAAATATGTAATTGCTTATATGAGTATCTTGCTTAAGTCTAGAAAATAATAATATAGTATAACTGTAAAAGAAACATTAGTTATTATATGGATAGTACGCCAATTCTGTCACTACTTGCTCAGAATACTATTTGAGATTATCACAAATTATAGTGTTCTCCAATGGTTATTCACCAAGCAAACTAATTCTGAACTGTGAGTTTCTCGATGAATCATGTTTATGTTAGAATATACTTTTATGATTAGTTATCATCCTAGTAAGTTAAACCAAAATGCAGATATCCTCTCCCAAATAAATCAAAATTGAACATCCAAAACTTGACAAAAAAATTAAATTAATATTAAAATAAAAATAATAATAATAGTAACAACAAATAATAAATAAATATAACAAACTCAAAATAAAAAACAAATATGAACTAATCACTTACTTTAACCTATTGCGATATTTGAAAGACAGAAGCTATCTGACAGGATACAATAAAGATCAATAAAAGAAAATTAAAAATCAAGCAAAGTATTTTCTTACTTAAAATGAATGACTTTATAAAATAAACTGGTGAAAAGAACTCAACAATTCTTTGTGTATACTTAAAGAAATTGAAATTAATGTAATTATCAAAAATTTACATGCAAATTTATTATCTAGACACTTTGCATATGAAGAAATATTTTAACAAATTATGATTAGATACTGGTAGTATAATATGAGAATTGATATCAGGAACTTTGTAAAGTTCTGTGAGACTTGTCAATAAACAGAAGAATGCCAGACAAAACAACTACTATATTCAATTAAAATCAGATAACTCTTCGATTAGATAATTATCGATCTTGTCAGATCATATAAAATAACTACAAGAAAGAATCATTATATAGCTGTAGCTATAGATTACCTGATTAAGTGACTGGAAGCAAGAGCCATATCTAATAAAAAAGCATCCACAATCATCTAATTTATTTTTGAAGACATTATTTGTCATCACAGTTGTCCTAGAGAACTTTAACGAGATCAAGAAATGGAATTTATGACTTTAATTATTGCTGAACTAATATAATTTTTTAATATTCATTATAGATTCTTCTTCTCTTATCACTCCCAAACAAACAGAATAATAGAACAATTTAATCAAATGCTGTATACAATCCTACAAAAATATTGTATCACTCTAAAAAATGAATAGAATGTGTATATTTCTACTATACTCTTCACTTACAGAACACTATGAAATTCAACAATATGTTACAAATCATTTTTTCTAATATACAAATGTGAAGTGACTTCTGATCGAACTAAAATATAAAATCTATCAAGAAAAAGATATTAGTTTAAAAGATCAAATAAAAGATAGAATATTCATTCTAATACTTATCCAGATTCAAGATACCAAACAAAATACAAAAAAGAACCAAATTATGATATGACCAGCAACTTCATAAAGTCACTATCTTTGAAATCAGTGAAAAAGTATTAATCTACAATATGGCACAACACACTAAATATAGAGATAAATTTGAATCACAGTGGAGCACTGAATGGTACTATATTCATGAACTCTGTAATAATAATGCTTACAAATTACGAAATTAACATGATCAATTATTAAAAAAGACCTTTAATAGAACTCAATTAAAATACTATCATAAATGAGATGCAGTCGAAATAGCGCTAGAAACAAAAAATTTATCGACACATATACATACAATATGTACATATTAATATACATATATCAATAAGCAAACAAATAAACAAAAAAACTAATCATGATGTGATAATTGGTGAAACCAGAAAATATTAAAAGATCAAATTCTTCATCAAGGAAATAATATAATGCAAAATGAATCAAACACCTCATCCCTAGGAACAAGAAAAGGTTGAAATCACTATTGTACACCTTGTCCAATTATTGCAACAATGCCAATTTAATATAATAAACCATGATCAAGACTTAATTAACCAAAGCAAGCAAAGAAACGAAACTGATGATGACCACCAATCAAATGGCCTACTCGACGAATTGTACAAATTCTCTCATCCCAGTAAAATTATAGTGAAAATAAATGAACTACCCAATAAAGAGCCTATATTTGTGCATCAATTTAGCTCAACTGATGACTGGAAACATCGAGTTCAGTACATCTGCACTGATATTGTCCAAAAAAAGTATCTAATTATATTAAACTTTAAAAATATTATTAATTAGGAGAATTATTCAGTAAAATGCCACAAAAGTATCATTGCAAACTCAAAGTAATAAAAACTGAATTGCGTCAACAATGTCATATTTCTTCTCCTGATAGATATTATCATATCACCAAATATACATACCAAATATTCAAAAGAAATAACACAAAGAAGATCAATAAACAAATACATGTAACAATTATGCCAAATGATATTTTTAAGTTGCGAGTTGAAGAAGTCGACGCAATCTCAAGACGGTTATAATAGTTTCGCAGGAGCTCAACTTTCTTTGGATGGGCAAAATGTTATCGAAGTGTAACAAATTTCATTGATTTCATAATTTTTGAAGGAGCCCATTCGTCCTGATCTCAATAAGTTATTTCAATTATCTGAGCTCCTTAGTGTAATGTTCCATCCTTCTTATTTTAAATTGACTCCTGTTTTTCTCTTTCCAAAAAAAGTAATTCATTTACAAAATTCACTTTTCATCTACACGTTTTTTGATTTTGATTGTTTTCCCGTTTTTCGCTTTCATCTACCTTTTTTTTGTGTATATGTTTTTAGCTTTCACATTTGATTGTCAGCTCATTCTTTGTTATTCATTTTATCTTTTTTCATTTATTCATCCATTTTTTGCTTTCGCTATCACCTGTTGTTCGTTATTGACTGATCTTTAGATCACTGTTTTCACATTTTTCGCTTTCGACTTCACCATCAATTTTCCACTTTTATTCACGAATTCATTTTCCATTTCTCGTTATTTCACTCCCACGCTTGATTATAATCACAATTTCGCTTTTGATTGATTTTACTTTATTTTCTTTTTCTTAAAAAGTTCTCTCTCTTCAATAGTATACATAGTAATAGAATCTAGAGTAATACTCTTATTCTACGATATAAAAACCAAAATGTATATATATAGTCCTCACGGACGTCAATAAAAATTCAGAACTTAATTGCATACAATTTTTCTACAAGTAACGTAACTCTCGTAAAACGAAATAATTGTGTACAATTCTTTCACCCCATAGTATAGCTTTGTTAAAAGATTGAAATGATTAACGGTTAGGTCCTTTGATCCAGAAAAGGCATTGTTATTGATTAAACGGCATGTTGATTGATAGTAAAACACATTGTGTAGAATAGTTTAAGGCTTTTGTCTAGAAAAAGCAATTGTTATTATTAAATATTGTTAATAGAAGTAAACGTCACTTAAAATTAAAGAAACATGACTCTCCCAAATTCTCTTACCTAAACACAAATCCTCGTAAAGCCCCTCTAATATTACCAAACCCGACGATATCCGTAGATATCGGCACAGGAATTAGATAACGAACGAGTACAAATCAGTCTATACACTCTCTTCCCCTCAATTGTTGTAGGTAAAATCGTTAATTGCGCCTAATTACGAACACGCGCAACAGTATTCAATGCATTAAAACCTAGTATTGTGACCAATTTCTCGTTCAAAGTTTACAAATGATCTTTTGAAGCTCGTAAATACTCATTTGCATCCAGAATCGCATAAAACTTTTCATCTAATAGAATTATATATGGCGAACAAGTTTAATTATTACGCGAATAGAGATTTTATTAGTAAAAAATGGATTTTTCATGGTCCATAAATATATTTTATTTTCGTTTCGGTCAACTCGGAACCGAACCGCCCATGCGGAGCACTACTAATTGCCTCCTATCTCAGTAATTCAAGTTATCCATTCTATAAGGCACCCAACTATATAGCCAACAATAGGAATCAAGACAATTCCACATGAGACAAATATTTATCATAGTGAGTCACATTCTATGCCGTCGGGTAAAGGAATACTTCTACAGGCTGCGAGAATCAGCGATACTTGCTGAGACAAAGATGTCGATTGATCAGTTCCACGAGTACGCTAGAAAAAAAGAGAAGGAATACGATACTGATCAACTGATAACAAAATGCTTGAAGAGGGAAATGGGAAATGAAGAAAAGAACTAAGTGACATTTCAAGCTCGTTTTCTCAGCTGATAATGATCATTTCCCCCAATTATTTATTACTTATAAAAAGTTCTCCAAGATGCTTGAGGGAACATATGGAGTTGATGGTCGAAAGTTAATTCAACAATCAAAAATAAATAATGATGACGAAATGTTTTGCAAAAAATAAATTTAAATAATAAAATGCGAAGCTGTGTTGACTCATTACATGATTTAAAGCAAATTATATTAGCAAAATAAAAATTAACCACCCACTCTAAGTGTAAGATAAATGGTTTTTTGTTTATAAATAGATCCAAAGTACAGCAAATACGTATACATGTATTACAGTAATCCCAGCTACGAAAAATTTTATTGAACACCAAAAATAAAGGGTTGCGAATTATATCCTGGAAGTATATTAATAATATGCTGAATTTGGACTTACAGTGCCCGTCAAAAGTATCCCGCACCTGTAATTTCCGATATATCATGTGTGAATTCTTGAAATTACACGTGTATACGGTACATCACAAACGTTGATTGTAACAATCTTTTTTGGGCAGATTAAATAATAAAAAACCCGTATCGGTATTGCTTATAAATCAAATCTCAGCCATAAAAAATGTCTTTTTCGTTGAATCGACGATATGAAATCATTTTTTTGAGCATCCACCCGAAAGGTCCCAGGCTGTCAATGCGTGAGACGGCAAAGTAGTTCGTAGTGATAAAAAAACAGTGCGTTATTGATCAAAAGATGAGGAGAAAACAAAGACCTGAGCGACAAACCAAAATCAGGCAGACAACGGATCACCACCCAAAGACAGACAACGGATCACCACCCAAAGGCAAGACAAACAAATTGCAGAGCTTGCAAAAAAAATGATATAACAGCGCCAGAAATTCAACGGGAAATGAAAAAGCGAGACGTCAACGTTAGTGTACGCACTATCCAACGACGTCTTGGTGAAAGTGGGGGTCGGTATTTCAATAAACTATCAAAACCTTTAATCGAAGAAAAGCACCGAAAAAAACGCCTGCAGTGGGCGAAGAAGCATAAGAATTTTGACTGGGACAATGTGATATTTTCTGATTAAAAGTACCTTTCATCTGAATCAATGATTAAAAAAGACTTGGCAGTTTCCTGGAAAAAGAAAAGTGACACATTCCGTAAAGCATCCGTTAAAGCTTCATGTTTGGGGGTTGTTTTTCATCTTCGGGTTTTGGCAGGTTGGTCTGCTTCGGGTGTAATCTTAATGATTACCGTATATGAAAGAGGTCTTCTGCCTTCTGTTGTGGAAATTTTTGGCGAAGATTGTGATGAGTGGATTCTGCAGGAGGATAATGATCCAAAACACCGTTCGAAAATTGTGAAAAAATGGAAAGAAGAAAATGACGTTGAAGTTCTTCCCTGGTCGTCGATGTCACCCGACCAGAATCCAATTGAAAATGTCTGGGGGCTCATGAAAATGATCTAGCAAAAAAAAATAGGTCAATTAGAGGTTTGAAGTAAAGGAATGGAATCGCTTACCTAAAGAATATGTGGTTAATTTAGTTAGAAGTATGAGAAGTCGTGTGGAGGCCCTAATTGAAACTGAGGGCGATTATACAGTGTATTAATTTTTCATGTAATGACAAGAACTTTTAAAATAAAAAAAATTTTTTTGACTTACCATACTTCCATGACGAGTTAGAGGTGCGGGGATACTTTTGACGGGCACTGTACTAATTTGAATAAATCTAATCGCAAAATTTACGGAGTCCTTTCTTATATTACTCCAGAATAGCAAGCCATACACTAAAGCTGCAGATATTTATAGCTTTAGAATGATTATGTACCAAATTGTGACTGGTGAACGGCCATTGGTGAATCATGATAATTGACATCCATAAAGGAATACGACCTAAGATACAAAATAATGTCGTTGGATGGTGCAAATTTATTATTGAAAAACGTTTGAGATCCTATTCCAGAAAAGTCCAACTGCCGAGGAAATTTTGAACTTCATCTCCTCTGTCTACGATATTGACGAGTGGAAACTGAATATTTTGCATTTTCAGTACTGCAGAATGGGAAAAATGAGATGAAATTGCAAAAAATTTCTTAAAGTATAAGAACATCATCTAAGTACAGTAAAAAATCTTTACCAGATTATTTGTACTGTACTTTAACTCGATGCACTTCAATTGATGAGGAAAAAAAGCGGGTAAATAAATTTTGATTTGATGACTGAAAATCATCCGTTTCGTGAAATTAGTACCGGTACATGTGCTATATCAAAAATTTCAAGTTAGATATAAAATTGACAATCGTTACTAACGTTAACTCCTACCAGAAAATGGGAAATTACCTTAACCAATAGGGTAACACCGCAGTTAGAACCTTTTCGTTTTTGAATGAATATACTAGTATGAATTATTTTTAGTATACAACTATATGATTATTTGTGAAGTATTCACACACAATTCGTGATGTCAAACTAATCTGTATATTCGCCATTCACTTAATTACTCTAGCAATTTATGATGCTTTTTTTTGCTGACACATATTTCGGTTAATTTTATCTGAGGACAATCTCGTCTCAGCGCCAGCATTTTTTAGTGATTTGTTATGTATATAATTTGGACGATCATATGTGGCTTCCTTGTTCCCTTCTCCTTTCTCGATCAACCTTTGGATGTTTATTTGCATCATTCATTATCGTTATTATATCAGAATCCATGGAACCTTCAAATTCTGTAAACCTGAACCTAGTTTGATCTCCAGTGCGTATTGGGTTATTTCTTGTGAGAGTCACTGTATATTGTATTGGCAGCAGTTGGGTTATAATTTCACACCAAAGACAAAACAAGAGATAAATAGAAATTATTTGGATTACAATCGATTCTTTTGTGTATTTTATCATCAGACTTTTTTTCCTAAGTGAACTGCCGCCTCGCTACGAACCACAAAAATATCCAAGCCTACCCCGAAATTCTACGCAATATCTTCGTACGCACTTTATTAATGATCTGATATAAAATAACAAGAACGCTTGAGGTAAAAAAAAATGATAATGCATAGATTGTGTATGCATCATATCACATAGGTATTATTATTACAAATTTCTTAATATCGATAATAACAGCGATAACGATAGTACCATCATTTGTAGTTGGATTTTTAGTTATTCTATTTCATTGAAATAACGACTTCGGAGCAGTCTGAATCTATTTTTACGAGGGGCGGCTGAAAAGTTTTGATCGTGCCACTTTATTTTCCTATACATTGTGCCGGGACAACCAATTATCACAAACCCTTAAAGTAGTTCCCTCTTACTTCTATGCATTTATAGTGCTCCTTTTTTGGTATACAGAGAGACCTCCCTAAATGCACACTCCCTAATGCAAGCTATGGCTTAGTCCCGAACTTATAGGCCTCTAATTATTTACTCTCTATAAATGCACACCTCTCTAAATGCACACACTCTGTCTTTTTTTACATGTAACCTTGTCCTCCACTCTAACCCTCACCCTAACCCAAACGATAAGATAGCCTCTAACGTTAATTTTTCCGTGATCACGTGAGCGAAGATTTTTGTTGGCGACGCTTGGAAAATAATGAAAGTTCATTTAACATGTGAGTATTAATTAATGATAGGTCAACCGAAAATCCTATTGAAACCGTCACAATATATTGGATAGACGTAATGCTATATGTTTTTATATGCATTCTGTTCACATTAAGTATTCTGATCGCGTTACGATGCAGTCCGATTACTGGCATTCCGAGCAGAGGATTTTGAATTCCATACGCATCCCTGAGATATAACCCATGGAATTACTGACACGTTTGTGATCGTTGCGCATGATTCTGCATAAAGTTGCGCGTCGCGTAAAATTTCGGGCACGCTTTTCTCATAGGGATTACAAGAATCGACAATTTATTCCAAGTCCAATATTTTGAATGACGTACAGAAGAGGTAATCGTATACACAGTAAAAATAGTTATAACGATAACGGACTATATTTCGAAACAAGCTATAAATAGCATTGTATAAATTTTGTCTGTTATAGCGGAACCGTCGATTACCGGACAATATGGCAAGAATGCGAGGTCCGTTATATCGATTTTCACTAGGTGTCGATATTAAGATCATTGTTATGTTATTTGGTAAATTAATAACGATAATACATGTATTAAGAAACTTGAAACAATCATAAATATTACTCAATAACTGAAAAATGACTTGAATTCTCACTCAAACTGATTTATCAAAATTATGAAAACTCCATTTTGTAATAACAATAACAATAATTACTGACTCAATCCATTCAGCAATAATCAAATCTAATCCAGAGCTTATAATAATTGGTATTATTATATGATAATTCAAAATCCGAAATATTTAAGTACTTTAACCCGAATCATTTATACTCGCTTATTACATACAGTCAGGGGTCAATGTACTGATGAATTGGTAATCAAATTTCAAGTTGCTAAATCGAGCGTGATTTAAATATAGTGATCTTGGATTAACTCGCGATTTCACTAAATCGCATAGTCATTAAATTTAAATCGAGCCCTGGTTGTATTTTTTTCTGAAAATCCAATATTTTAGCAAGGAGCACCTGCAGCAAGAGATATCCATAACAACATATCCGTAAAATAAACCATGCCTTCACCTGTTTCATCCACCTCAATAACGAAGAAAAGCCTACGATGGCGGATGTGATCGGAACATATAAAGCGGAAGAGCTTCTCGACTATTTACGTATGCGATTTTGGAAAATAGAATCAGAAGTAACAATAAATGAAGAGGTTTTACAGAATCATACCATATGTTGCTCCGGAAGTTTTATGAGGAAAATTATACACCAAAACTGCGTATATACATTCTTTTGGTTGATGTGGGAAATATAAAATTTGGAAAGACCATTTGAAAATAAAAATCACAATGTTCACTTTACTCTCGATATATGGGATGGTTTACAGCCAGAGATGCATAAAGATATACCATCAAAATATCGCGAATTAATGACACGTTGTTAGGATTCTGATTCATCAAAACGACCAACAATAGATGAAATTGTACAAGATTCATCTACTGGCTGAGTCTCGTACCGCCACAACTAAAAGAATTAAAAGATAAAAAGGCAACTAACAGACTCTGGTGCAGTATATAGAAGTCATTCTTCTTAGTGACATGATTGAAGCCAACGATTATCTGCTCGTATGCGAATGACTTAAAAACTAGTCATGGTAACTTATTGTCATAGCAACTTTTATAATCAAAATAAAAATTTAATTGACTTTCAAAGTTTTAGAACCAGACTCGCATGAATTGGAAATTTGTCCTGAAATTGTGTGAAATAAAACATAAAAGTTAACAAATTATTATTTATAATATCTCGTTGTATTTGTTTCGTGTGATGTTTCCTATGTATGAAATATATTTCTTTACGCTATTTATCAATTATTATTTTTATTTTTATTATAACAGTAAATAAAGTTATAAATTTTTGAAACACGACGCGATAGAAGTAAGAGTAAGAATGTCATGGATTAGGCTTCAGAACTAGTTGTGCAACCAACTTACGTGACTGTTTTAATCACTTAATTTAGAAACAAACATAACATTTGTATTTCGTATTTTATAAAATGGATAAACTTCTTTACTAAGTAAATACAAAAGTTTAATCCGTGAATATGATTGAATAAGCCCTTTCTGAACATATTTACAGATTAAATTTTGTATTTACTTCTTAGTAAAGAAGTTTATCCATTACATAAAATACAAATGTTTGCTATGCATCATATAACAAATTTTATTGAGGAATTGAAATAACCACAAACAAATACATGTATAATAACAAACATACCATTTAGCACTGTGTATAATATCTCTAATGATAATATCCCCATGATTATGTAGGCACTATATAAAATTCTCTATACACGCCCTAAATATAATACCTTCTGTAGAATATATAATACCCGGTTTCATACACAATACCCACGGATATTCAATTTATAAACTATATAATTTTGAATAAGACACCGGATATTTTATACAGTGCTAAACGATAAACTAGAAGATATCGCTACGTATTGTTTTCTACAGCCAATCAAATTCATGACTAATCAGTAACCGCAAGCTGCGTTGCCTAATAACAAGATCTCTGAGCGGATTAATGACAAAATCTGTAAACAGTAGTAGCATATGATGAAATAGCTCTTGAGTCAAATGGAATCTTCAGTGTGTTTTGACACTCTTTTTGATATCCTTACGCTATCATTCAAATGCTATAATTCACTATGTCATAAATTTTCTATAAAGAAAGAAGTGGACATATATTATGAAATATAAAGCAACAAATTTACAATATACTTGGCGAGCATATCAAAAATACACACAAAGAAAAACTTTCTTTGGGTATGAAAGTTTATGAACGTACAATACCCAATATAGAAGTATCAATGATCTGCATTTGTAGTGTTCTTTGTGCTCGGAAAATTTTGGTACATTAAACATGATCTACGGAAAGTTATAGTTGGGGGGGGGGGGGGGGGGGTTATTTCTGACGAGCACTGTACTAGAAAGCTGAGGTTACATTATATTATCGAGGGCGATGTTTGCTCTGATTCTTAAATTATTATATGTAAGCAAACAGTCAATTTCTCGGATTTTCTTAAATAGATATGTTAAACGATTATGTTATTTAATCAAGAGTCAAGGAATCTTGTAAATAAAAAATGTTCTACGTACTTTATTATTTTAAAGAATAATACGAATAACGATAAATGAAGCGAGAGTAGACCAATTAAAAAAATAGAAAAATCACGTTGCATCAGGAATTACGTACATTTATCTTGGCATTAACGTTAATTAAATTAAGTACATGTATTCTGTAGTACATGTACACGCTAGCTAGATCCGAAAAAATTGGCATGTAACTTTTGTCAAAATTACTATTTACAGAATTGAAGTACATGTTCATGTAATTAAATATCGTTTCACAAAACAAAGTTCATTGTTAATGTAATGAACAAAGTATTTCCGTTAACACATGTACCTTTACATGCAAATGTAGTTTTAAACATCTATGCCTTTTGAATTCGTTTCAAGGAATTTTTACTCAAAAAGTCCAATGCATAATAAATTCTAAAAATAAATAAATTACAGCATTTCAAATTTTATTACTTTCATTATGTAAACAAGAAATGTATGCACCGAGTAGAAGCTTCTAATTCTATTATTTTTTTTTATGTAAGCAAGGAAGCCACAGTAAAATCTCCGGAGGCTTAATTTTTCAACGTAATGTTATAGTATAAATAGACAAAACTAAAAAAAACAATCTGACTAAAAAATATCAAAGTTTAAAATGAATAGTCTCAAAATAATAACAATCTTGTTATTAATATCGATATACATTGTCAATGTTTTAGCACAACAAGCGTATGTATGATTAAAAATATACTCGTTAACGTTGAAAATTAAAACTTTTAGTTTAATTCGGTTATGTTTTAGTGCTACGACGACGACGACCACAACAAACTGGAGGTGGTGACGGTGACGGAAAAAAGAACAAGGGAAAGTTTAACAGTAACGATAATGGTGGTAATGGTATTAATAATGGTTATGGTGCCGACGGAGGTGGAAACGGTAATATTAACGGAAATAATAACGAGCCGACATATCAAAATACGTGTACAGGCAACAGTCCTACCATCGCTCAAAAACCCTATTCATCCGCGAATCTATTTGTACCTACGGGCACAACTACGCAAAATATGAATGATATTCTTCCGACTTTCCCTCCTCCTACGAGAGAAAGGTAAATTTCATATCAATTATGTGAGCTTAATAGAATATTTTTTGATCGAGTAAAATTGAATCACTCTCCTATTAACATTATATTCAATTTGTTTATTTTAGCCCGAAAAGACCAGAAATTACTTTATTCAGACAATTTCCTCACAAATCGATGCTGGAAACAATCCACCAGCATCAGTAAATACAAATGCAGTCGTTTATCAAGCCGTTCAGCAAACTGCTCAGCAAACTGTTCAGCAAACTATTGGAACTGAGAGTAAAGATAATGGCTCGAATTCTCAGACAAAAATACAAAATGCAGTGCCTACAAAAACAATTACTGAGAATAATTCGAATTCTATTAGACCTTCATCTAATTCCGTCACCTATATAAAATATTTGACATCCACTTTGCAAACTTCCTTCACAACATTAATTACAACCACTTTGGATAATTCTTCCATAAAAATAATTACCTCCGTTGTGCCTACATCTAAAGTAGTAGTTATTCCAACAAATAGTATTCCATCTAATAATGCTGCTCCTTCTTCAAGCTCTGATTCATTTCGGCTCATTGATACGATTCTTAAAAGGATAACAATGACTTTGACTTTCTCTTTTGGCTTAAGTTTAATTTTTATTCGATGAAAAATTAGCTTTAGATTAATTAATTTAGATAGTTTAGCAATACATGTATTAATATTAGCAAGCAATAGAAAGAACAGAAATTTATATTTAGATCTTTACTCCAAATACAGAACGTGTTTATAAAGTTTGAAATGTTACATCTTTAGCAATTTTATGTTTTTGAACTGTTATCTACCGTTTAAAGATCGACGATTCTTTTACATGTACATGTATTTAGGATTAGCGTTAGCGTTAGGTGGCTTAATTGAACCGGTTTGTTTAGCGTTAGAAAGTACGTATCGGTATCGGTATATACTAATACATGTAATATATATCATGACGATGATGTGCAGTGATCCAATTCAAGTAAAAATATTACCATTCGATTCACCTTGACTAGGCGAATCGAATAGTATATACATGTACATGTAAACAAAATCGGCCATGTGACTGTGATACATTTCACGAAATCACGAGGCAAATGTACGTACGTAACAGAATCAGATTTGTTTTTTTTTAGTGCAATTTACAAATAATCCAAAAAAAGCAATACATGTAATTCGGGGTTTTATTTCACGCCAGAAGTTCACATTATGGTACATAATATTGTATTTATAATCTGAGAATGCAATAGAATAGACTTTTCTTGATCAAATTCAAGATTAAATTTTGGATTTACTTCCTAGTTAAAAAGTTGAAAGAATTTTTTAACAAGAAACACATTGTTGATTTAAGAGTTCCCAGTTTATTAAATTTAGAAAATAGAGGTTATACACATGTACAGCATATGCGGAGTGTTCAGATACGAAAATCTAGCAAAAATTAATCATTTAGGTGAATTACGTACATGTAATTATAACTCTATGTGAAACGATATCTTGATGAAGAACGATTCCTTAATATAGTATATGTATCATGCTGTGATTTTTTACGAATTGTTTGTTTGAATCACAACAATGAATTAAGTATCTTTTTTATAACGCTGTTTAATCGAAATAATAGATTCTATCTGGTATATTTTTTTGTTTCCTGATTGTGCTAGAATATATAAGCTAGCTTGCTAAAGGTCTTGTTTTGGAAATTAATCCTATCCAATAATTCAAAGTTTTTCTTAAGACTAATGGATAATGTACTAATATCCATTTTTTCAAAGATAGCCTTGAAGTTTCCTACGCCTGCGCAATTTCTTTTATATATATCATATAATTGTTATGAGGATAAATCAATTAATGAAGCATAAAGGTCCTATATAATCACGAGAAGGTCACTTGCATATTTAGGATTTTAGTCCTTTTTCAATTCTATACTTATAAGTGAAAATATCACGATATTTTGAATCTTGTATCGATTCAATTAAGAATTTGTATATTTCCTTAGTTTAGAATTAATATACTTTAGCATAACAAAAATTATTAACAAAAGGATGCAATTGTAAATACTTTTATACTATGAATACAGTCGTATCTCCATATAATCATATCCTCGAGACCAAAAAAGTGTGACTTTAAAAAATTATGACTATATGGAGGTTAAATACCAAAAATGATTTTTATATATACTGTATAATTCGATATGAATAATTTATAAAAATTCATCAGGAATATTTTTTGGTGTCGGACCCAATGAATATTTATAATTTTTCCCTTGATAACTCACATCGATTGTTGATAAGAAATTCGCAATTATCAACGTCAATACAGCAATAGCAAAAATCTCGTCGTTATTACCGATATAGAATTAGCTTCAGAAAGAAGCAAGCAAAGTATTGAATGCGAGAAAAACAATGAATTCGAAAAATTTTGAAGAGCATCTGTCTCATTTTATTATAATTTTTACAATTATAAATTTAGCATGCAATTTTATTTTTCTGTATCGTGAAAATTAAATTAATTGGCAGTCTACGAATGAAAGAAGATCATAATTATTATAACAAAAAATTTTTTTGGTTAATAAATAATTCATATACAGAGAAACCTCTTTAAGTGCATCCTCCTTCATATTAAAAAAATGACAGTGTGTACATTAGAGAGTGTGCATTTATGGAGTAAATAATTAGAGACCTTATAAAAGCGTATATAGTGTGTGCATTTATAGAGTGTGCACTTAGAGAGGTTTCTATGTATATTTAGTATACATGTTTGAGGTTGGGATAAGTGTTTAATTATATAGTTTTTGTTTCAATTTTGAAAATTGAAATCAATTTTTTTTTAAATTATATAATTTATTTATATATTTTGGAGCTTTAAGATTTAATATCAAAAAATTTTATATTATTCTTACAAAATTTTTATTAATATTTATTAAAAATTACAGTCGCTAAGATAATTATGAAAGCTTGTATGCAATTTTATTAATTAAAATTGGAATTTTTGTCTTATATAAAAGTTTTAAATTTTATTAATAAAAGTTTTTTATTTTTATATTAAAATAAAGATTATATTTAACATACAGTCAACACGGAAAGTAATGGCGAACATGTTTTTCGCCTATAACTTAATAAGAAATTGCTAAAAATTCACGAAAATTTGGTATTATATTCTTTAGAATGATAGAAACAAAATTTTCTGAGATCACAAAGCGTGTTAACATAGAAATATTTTGTGGAATCACGTGCTAAAGGTGGCAGGATGGGGATTACCCTGGCTGGTTAAAGTGCTATAAAAATTATTTAAAACTATTTTTATAAGCAAGTGTGAAAAAAATTTTATAGAAATATATTTAAAAACATAGAAAATATATCTGCAATTTAAAAAAATCTAGTTGATATTTATTGAATATATACTAGTTAAAAAAGGCTTAATTTTGATAAATTTCATAATAAAAATAATATTTTTATTATATTTTACTATATTTTACTATATTTTACTGTATTTTATTATATTTTACTGTATTTTATTATGAAATTTATCAAATACTAGTTTGTAATAAATTATTACTAAATATTTGTTTTATTAAAATAAATATTAAAATAAAAATTATTATTATTTATTAAAAATAAGTTTAAAAATTTGCAATCTGAAAAATAATTATTATAAGCTTTTATTTAATTTTTGCAAATTTATTATAGTTTTATTTTTTTAATTATTATTTACTAGCTAAAAATTTAATACTATGATCTGGTGCAAAATATTAATATATTACTTTTTTATCAAATATAATATTTAGAATATAATTAATATATTTATATAATTTTTATTATATATAAACAAAAATAAAAAATTTTATTAATTAATTACTTTTTGAATTTGATTATTTTGATTTTTTTATATAATAATTTATACTTATTTTTAATAAATTTTATATAGTAAAAAAATCAAATTTTAAAACTTAATTTTTTAATAGCTAATAATTCAATTTTGTTAAAAATTAAAATATATATTTATTATATATATTAATATACTTGCTTAGAAATTTATCAAATTGCATATTTATAAAAAAATATTAAAAATTAAATTTTTTTAAAAAATTCAAAAAGTTTTGTTTTATCTAAAAATTTATTAAAAAATAAAAATAATATAAATAATTAAATTAAAATATACTTTTAATAATATAAAAAATTATAAACTCTAATTAATAAATTTTATAATTATAATTAAAATATTTTATTTTTACTTTTTAATATATTAATTTTTTTGTGTTAGTCAATATTAATTATATTTTTTGCTTTTATAAAAATATTATTATTATAGTAAAATTATATACCAAACTTACTATTATTACTTTTTTAGTAATTATATATAAATTTTGAGATTTTTAGCTTTTAGTATATAATATATTTAAAGTTATTAAATATTTAATTTTATAAAAACATAAAATTTTTAACTAAAAAGCAAATACAAAATTTAATTTATAAATATATTAAAAGAGTTGATTTTATTATATTTACAAATTAAATTTTATATTTATATCTTAATAAAAATTTTATATTTTTATAAAATATAAATATTTGGAAAAATGTATATGTCGCTGCCGGTAACAGTCACCGATCACATGAAATATATTATCATGTGATAAATTCATGTCACATGAACTTATTATCATTGGT